TAGTGAATTGTAAAGGTAAAGATAATGACACACAAAATGCCACTGGTTACTCTAGGCAGAATTTCTATTAGCTGCCAGCACTCACTTAGCTCTACTTCCACGTGAATGACGGTGGCCCCAGCCCTCTACTCTCCTTCTCCCAGTGTCTCAAGGGTATGGAGATCTCCCTGGGACTTTGAAACCTTATCTTTATTAACCATAGTTTAGGATTTTATACCGAGGAGATGTTACTCAGTAGGAATCCAGTGAATATCACATCTGTAGCCTTGTTATTTTATACCCTTCTAGAAAATGGGGGATAAAAGGGTTCAAAGGCTTCTGCATTGCATTTTGAATAGCCCAGCACCTTTGTTCTAAAAATAAATACATGACTTTTAAAAATAAATAATTAAGGGGGTTCAAACCAGAGGCTTACATTACTTTTAAGGATACTCACATATGATCAGCTGTTGAAAGAGTTTGCAGTTCAGCTGTGCTGAGCTAAGATTTAGTGACGGGGGCACCCAGGGATCAGACTCAAAGGCAGAACCTTAGTCCTTTCCTTAGTGAGCACGAAAGGGGTACAGAGACATCAGACTGGAAGACACGGGGAGATAACACACAGTACCAAAAATCTTGAATGCTTTCCAGCAGTGTGGCAGACTGGTACGGCCAATCTTTAGGCCAAGATTCAATGAAGAACCTTAAGAACAATTACAAGTTCGTTCTTACTTGGCAAAGCACATCGGTTTATGCTTATCTTTAACCTGCGATTATTGAAGATAATAAAATTTATGTGCGCACTTAAAATTAAGCAAGAGCTTTATTGTTTTGTTGAAAGGAATCCATAGTATGCTGGGGAGAAAGTAGCCTGGCCTGCCATGGCCAGGGGAGGCTGTTTTTATATAAGGCTGCATGACAAGGTAAAAAACAGGGAAAACTTTTTGAAGAAGATTTCCTCATCCTCACTTCCCACTCCATATCCTCCCACCTTCCTAAATTACCGTTTTTACATCTCAATTGATGGAAAGACAAAGAAACCACTGTAACTGAGTAGAGCTGCAGAGTGTAGCAAAAATTGCAAGGGGCAAGGCTGATAAAAGCAAGTCTGGTCCAGCTTGAATATATGAGGCAAAATAAGCAGAAGAAAGCTAAAAATGTGCATTGACAATGAAGGACAAAGAGTATTATAAGCATCGTTGCTGCAGTCTGTTAAAGCATTTGCAGCAGACAAAAGATGCAAGAAGAATTGGCAATAGAAGAAAAAGGATAAAAGATAGCAAAATTATTAAATTAGTTTTATTGTAATTATTTTAAACAGTGGATCACACGCTCTAGTATTCTGAGAGTTAGGCGCTTGCACACATCTTTCTCATTGTTTTGAATGAAGCTCAAGCATATGATTAAAAGTCTTTCCTAAATGCGAGTACTTTTCTGAAATCAGGCTGAAGACAGGAACGGAGCGCTCCTTGAACGGGAATCCCGTTTCCAGACATAGGTCCGGGTTCAGCCATGTGTATGTGTGATGCTATATTTGAAAATACTGTACGCACATATCGCAGAGGGAGTTCTTAATGTGCTCGAAGTTGGCAGCATGCTTGAGCACCCTGTTAGATTGTGGTGAGAGAGCGAAGGTAAAAGCTGTAAAGGAGAAAGAAAATACTTGTGAAAGGTTCAGGCATTTTTCCAGGGTGCTGATACGCTGTAGTGTGCTTACTGTTAATGCTGTAACTTGTTATGTAGACCCTTCAGAGCAGAATTCTGCTCACATACCTGATATGACTTTGAAATTCAGACTTTGCCGTTTCCAGGTCCAGGTAACATTTAAAAAAAGAATACCTGGTTTTAATGAGAAGGGATGGAATTCTTTTTATTTATTTTTCGGAGGGATGGGTGATAAGAGATAGACAGATAGTTTGACAGCAGGTAAGAAGCCCTACACCCTAGGTTTTTAGGGAACTAAAACCTAAGCTTTAGGAAAAAGAAGCTCAATTTAAAAAATAAGTAATGACTTACTGATTCACTGTTTTTAAGAAATATAGTGAGGATATGTTTGGTTTTAGTAAATGAACATCTTGGAGGGAATAACTGTTTTGGGGACAGAAAATACTAACTTATAGAGGTCTTGCTGTAAGGATTAAGTGCAACACTTTGACTACGGCCATGGTCCTGTAGAAAATAATGAGAAATTGAGGAAAACATTAGAAGTATGCATTAGAAAATTTAATTTGATTCCTAAGTTAACCTTATTTGAAATTGAAGCAGCTCAGCTATCTTTTTTACCTCTCTCTTTCCTTGTATTTCTGTAAAGCCAATATCTGCAGAACCTTTTAGACACTATACAGTTTCAGCTTTTAAATTATTTTTAATTTTCATTTGTTTATAGGCTTTATATCGTTATTCACTCAGTCTAGATATATGACAAATCTCAAATAAAGAAGGTGCTCATGACTTTCTCGGTCTTACACTTCCATTTGGACAGTGTTCAAGTGTAGCTGAATATTAAAACCCTAGGAGGATTATCCAAATGATATCTGTAGATCAGCGGTTTTCAACCTGTAGTCTGCCATCTGGGAATCTCTGGATTATTCCTGAGCG